CAGTAGTCTTGAATTAGGCATGCCTTTTGCTGTCTGTACTTGATGGAATTGCTGAAATGTTGTTCAGGCCTAGTTTGTGTTTTAAAATCTAGATATATGGTACCTGAGCCGCGAATAGGTCATTACGAGTTGTAATGTTGATGTTACCTCATACACTGTTTTCAGAGCATTATTCGCAGAAGTGCATTTTTCCACCATTTTTTCAGTGGTTAAGTATAGTATCTTTATAAATTATAACTACCCTTTTGTGTATGGCTAAATTGCCAGTATATGCTCTTCAAATGTGCTCTCTTGTGCGGAAATGTTAGTCATTTTGATACTGGAATTGTTTTTCTTGGTAAAGTGTTTGTACAAAATACTGCAAAACCGTTTTAAAAGTTGATATGGAAATTCAGATGGCATATTACACATCCTACCATCGCCATTAACAGATTTCATTGATTGAACATAGCATTGCCATGTCAGCTCTAGGATAGATTATTATAAAGATTGTGTATAGAAACCTAGCATAAGTTTGTCATGCCAATGTCTCTACTAGCACCCCTTGCCTTGCTTTAGTTTATAATCAACGATTTCTAAGTTGAGTATTCTGATTTGAAGATGAAATTGCATTCTGACTATAGGTTGTGAATTTCAGGTATAAACTAGATGTTGTGAGTGCTGGAAAGAATTTTACAAAGATCAGGAAAGCAATTACGGCGGGGTTTTTCTTCCACGGTGCTAGAAAGGACCCACAGGAGGGTTATAGAACCCTAGTGGAGAACCAACCAGTTTATATACACCCAAGCAGCGCCCTCTTCCAGAGACAACCAGATTGGGTGATCTACCATGAGCTGGTTATGACCACAAAAGAGTACATGCGCGAGGTGACGGTTGTTGACCCCAAATGGCTCGTGGAACTGGCACCCAGGTTCTTCAAAGTGGCAGATCCCACCAAGATGAGCAAGCGCAAGCGTCAAGAACGTATTGAACCGTTATATGATAGATACCATGAACCTAACTCTTGGCGTCTTAGTACGAGACGTGCTTGATATGTGTATCATCTGCTGCTTTTGGTTTTTCTGTATGGATTCAATGTGAATATCTTGTAATTACTTGAGCTAATTTTTGACATTGAGTGCACAAAATTTGTGTGGCTTCGTTCCTTTTTAACAGCCTCATGAAATTCCTTCAACGTCGCAATAAGGGCGTCATCAATTGCTTATTTTCTTTACTGCAAGCAAGCTGGGGGTAGAATTTGTTGGAGATATTAGCTGTTCTGTTCTCTGGACAATGAATTGTTAGGAAATGAAAGAATCATAGTGTATTCTTGAAAGTATTAAGGCATTCAAATATGTATGGCCTTCTCTGATCCTAGTTTGTTAGCATGATCTGGGTTTTCCCCCAAGAAGTTGAAGAATCAGTTATCAAACATCTTTGTACTGATAATTTCAATTCTGTGGCTTCAGGCTTTAAGCCAAGAAAAGTACAGATAAATTCAGAGACCGGAGGTACCTTATGTCAAGCACAGATGTTCCAAGTACACTAGTACAGTTTCCTCATCTAGTTTCACTTCCTGCTAACTAATGTCAGCTATTAATACAGCAAACCCACTTAAAGCACAAAAGCTAAAGTACACTAGTAGCCACATCACTTCCTGCAAACTAATGTCAGGTTACCAACCAAGCAATGAGGGGTTGTGGAAATCTGCATTCGTTAGTGTAGAAAACTCATCCGGTATGGTACTTGAAACAGAAGTGTCAATAACAGTGCTTACACCACTACCAACATCCGAATGTTTGGACAACCATAAATCCCACTTTGATTGAGTTAGAAATACAATTAAGGCTACCTGGATCTCGATGTTATGAAATGAGCTGATCCACGTGGGGTAAGAGCCTACAATTATTCAGGCTATTATCCCACATTTCCTGACCAATTGAAGTTAGGGAGGAATTATTTGCTTCAGTTAAAACAGCTGAAGAATCTTGCAAGCCAAACACAGACAAAGGCCCCCGGTGATCTAAGTGTCCCAGCAAAGGGTTGACAAGACTGGTAAAATATGCATTCATCATTGTCTAGGAATGGAAGCGAACCATTTGTGCTATTGAAATCTGAATGAGGCATATCAGTTTGTTGGGAGTGGTAGAGTAATGATTCCAAAGGCGGCTGCATTGGCCGTGGGCTAGTTTGTAGTTGCGCTGCACTTTGGTTTTGGTTGGCAAATGTCAGCTCGTTCACAAGGTTATAGGGGCTAACAAACCCTGCAGCTAATTTATCTTCAATTCCCTGTCCTGTAGAATTCAACTGGCTTAATTGATCCGAGGAAATATCAGTATCTAATTTTGTCTTGTCAGTACTATTTCCAACTGGTGATTGACTTCCAAACTTTGTTAGGTTGTTCTTTCCTGGTAGAATTGCATGAGATGTGTTCACGTTTATTGCAGCAGATTGATCCATAGATGATTGGGGAGGGTTTGATTCGGTAGAGATATACCTTCTGAAAAGACACCCGGATTATTTTGGTTGAGTTTGGCCTGCATGGTCTTCATATCTGCTATTAAATCTCCATTAGCAGCCGATTGCTGTTGTAGAGCAGCTAAAGTTCCAGCATGATTGACAAGTTGAGGTTTCAGTAGCATATTGACTAGCTGTTCCAAACATAGATTTGAAATCGAGTAAGGAAAAGAGTTCCCATTTCCAATCTCTGGAACCCGAATGTATGGTCTTTTAATCAAATTTCCCCACTCAGTTTCTGCTCCTGGTAGCACAAAAAAAAAGTCATTAAAAAAACATCTAACAGACGTCCCTGCTTGAAAACAGAATAAAAAACTTACCCAAGAAACCAGAGTGTAATGGTCGTTTAAGACTCGAATTCAGAGAAGGAAATATGAAAAGATTTTCAGGAGTCTCAATTTCCCATGAACTAACCTGGCTCATCCCACTCTAATTATAATATTGATTAGGGAACATAAAAGCAAGATCACTTGGTAAAAGCTCAGAGTAGCTTAAGCCACCTGAAGATTCCTCCACTTTAAACCAGGCCATCTCAGTGGATCTAAATCACTAATACCGACTATTGTACCCATATACAAGCAAAAATGTTAACCTCTGGCCACACATTAAAGCAATGAACATAACATTATCACATTGATAATGAAGATGTTAATGTATCATGCAGAAAATATTGAAACCTGCTGCATTCTATCATCATAGAAAATATTACGAAAGACCAGACAGATATCTGGAACCATTAAAAGGGTTTACTACAGTCTACACCAATCACTGCTGTTTATTTCATCATGACATGCTGTGGCACGTAATTAATTTACAATGAAATTTGGCCATTACGTTCAAACGCTTGACGAGATTGAGAAAGGGAGTTAGAGAAGTTGCAGGCGATGCTGCCAAAAGATCGTGAGAAGCTGAAGACAAGCTTTTGAACGTGCGTGTACTCCTTCTCTTTCTTTTTTTCTTTTTTCAAATTAAAAGGGGTGTTTGAATAAAACAAGGAGTATGAGTGTGGGTTAATATTATTAATGATATGTGCCGTTCTAAGGGCCGTTTTCAAAGAGGACCTCACAGGACCTCATTTTTAGGACCTTTGGTAAGCGGGACTGCATTATTAAATAGATGTAGATGTTTGTCGATCATTTGCTTGTTCTGGGAAGTTGGATCTAGATGTTTGTCGTTCTCATTTGATTGTTCTTGGATCTAGACGTTTGTCGATCATTTGCTTCCAGGCTCCATCAGTACAAAGGTCATACAATGTCATGATGTTGGTGGAATTCAAGCTACTGTAACCCAAAGTTCAATATTGCACATTGACATTTAGGAGGAAGGCCATGTATTGAACGGGGATCATCCGAATGTTTCTTCTTCAACTCTGTATATAACAGAGTCCAGGATTAACTCTGTATATAGCAGAGTCATTATTGTAATCATTCATGATGAAAAGATCAATATACAAATCTCTCTAAAAATACTGTGTCTTTCTTCTTCAACTCTCTTCTCTCTCTCTCTCTCTCTCTCTCTCTGTTATCTGGGCCCCTAGTCATTAACAATCAAGTTAAGTGCTCTGTTCAACATTGTCCAAAAGGGTATCTGCTAAAATTGGTGGACATTACTTTCCCAACCAATTTGGACTTCTATTAAGCCACTATCAAGCTGACCAACAAGTTTATGAAAACCAGGTTCCTCTGGGACTGGCCTATCAAGTTTTTTGTTACAAGCGATATGGGGAGGAGGGAATCACATCTAAGACCTCGAGTGCAGGGATAGACGCTCTTAACCACTTGAGCTACAAGCCCCTTGCTAGCCTATCAAGTTTAAGCAAATGGTCAATGCGAGTATTTGGGTTTGCCTACCAAGTTTTCATTATGGCTCTACAAATGTTTGTAATATCCAAGAGACAGCAGTGATTGGCCTGCATGCCTTGATGGAATTGCATACGTTGGAGCCTTTATGCTACACAACACTACATATCTGCAAGTAATGGGCAAGAACTTGAACATTTCTACAAATTGAAAAGAGAGAAAATGCTTGTCATTGCTTTTCCAGGAAGAGCTTCAATCTTGTACTCCACACACAAGATTTAGCACACATTTTATACATCAACTTTGGTACAAGGCATTTTGCAGCTCACAAGTAAGCCTAATACAATCTTAAAATCCACAAAATAGAGCATTGCAAGCCTGACCAAATACAAAAAGTCTGTTTACAAAAAGTCATCTTCTACCATGTGCCCAGAACAACATGTTGAATTATGAAAGGAAAGAATGACCAAAAAAGAGCCACACATTTACAAGGAGAAGTTGTACGTTGCAAATAGATGACCAAAACAGAGCCACACATTGTAATTTGAAATCAAGTCCGCTTCGGCTTTGGCTTAGTTAATTAAAATAACACTATAGCTGGAACTAATACATTAATCGGAGTGAGCGTGGATTAAAATGGATCTGTTTATTTCTCTCAACAAACAAAAACAAAAAAAACTTTAATCGGAGAACTCCGAATTAATTGTTCTTACAAGTACTTAACACTTATTTAACTCATATTTATTCCTACTAAGCACTCCAAATTAACTAGTAAACTCTTCTCCAGATACCTGTGCATGCGCATACTAGCAATCTTCAACACTTGAACTGAAAGGAGGCATTCAGCTACAACTACTTTTCTCCTAATTTAGATGCTGCAGCTAAATATCAAAGTAAACAAATTAATACTCGTCAGTTTGGAGAAATGAACAATGCAATAAGAAAATAATTATAAAACGAAATTAATGATGAGAGAGAAAGAGTACCGTCACGAGCTTATCTATTAAGCATATGCTAACTTCAGTTGCCGCTTGATCAAAGCTGTCCTCACATAAAGCCAATCATTTAAATCATTCAAGAACTTGAAGTATGCGTATCTCCATGACCTTTTGAATATCAAAGTGCCGCAAACTCCCCAAAATCCAGCAGCAAACCCAATCCCCATACTGATGTAAAATCCCAGTGTTATAAACTCATCCTTATCATCTTCATTGCTCCTGTCAGTTGACTCATTTTGATCAGCACACATCTTTTTAAGGGGAGGTCCACAGAGTAGAGGATTTTCAGCATAATCAAGGGGATCAAAGCTTTGGAGCTGAGTGCCTGTGGGTATTTTGCCAGACAAGTTGTTATATGACAGGTCCAAGAAACTAAGACGATCTATCCGAGCAAGGCTTGTCGGAATTCTTCCATCTATCTGGTTTCTTGATAAATCAAGCGAGTCCAATGACTCCAAGTTTCCAATCTCCGGAGTTATTTGACCTGTTAACTGGTTTCTCGAAAGGTTTAAAGAAATCAACCCAACAAGACGAGTGATTTCACTTGGAATCTCCCCTGTTAATCTATTACTTGAGAGATCAATTCTCTTCACAAGGCCCAAAGTGCTTTTGTATGTCTCCATTCTTCCTTTCCATATGAAGCTTGCATCATCGTCATAATTAGTAGGAGCAATTGACTCATTACCCATACTTCCGCCATAAAAATGAGTGCTGGATAGACTTGGATTTCCTTTTTTAGCCAAAGTAGTCAAATTGTTGAGGCATTTGGGTATGCTTCCAGAGATGTTGTTCATAGAGAAATCCATATTTTTAATGTGTGTTAGATGGCATAATTGCGAGGGCATGCTTCCATTGAAGTGATTAGTGGAAAGAATCAGGATAACCAAATTCTTGAAGCTCACACCTAACCATGTAGGTATTGGTCCTGATAATTTATTATCTCCCAGATCAATAACTTCTAAACTTGCGCAGTTCTTCAACGATGAAGGCAATTCTTCAACAAATTGGTTTCTTCTTAATTTCAAAGTTTGCATTTGAAATAAAGAGCCTATTGTCATGGGAATTTTTCCAGAAAAAGCGTTGTTACTCAAATCAAGCATGACTAGAATCTCCAAATGGCTCCAACAATCTGGAAGTTCTCCAGCAAAACTGTTGCTTGAAAGATTAAGATATGTTAAACTCATATATGCACTTGCGCATAGGAAAGAAAGCGACCCTGAAATGTTATTATTAGAAAGATCCAGATAGGAGGCTTGTAATAGAGTTGAGGGAATTGGACCTTCTATTTGGTTCGAACTCAAATGTAGTTCTGGGTTATATGGAAACTCCACTGCCAAATTTGTAAATATTCCTCTGATTAGGTTATGTGAGAGATTAATAACGCTCGCGTTACGAAAATTACTCCAAAACCAACTTGGAAGGATATCAGAAATTCCAGCATTCAAAATATCAAGCTCGAAAGTATGTTTTTGAGTTTGAAGCCATTTTGGGAAAAGAGGACCGACCTTGCAAGACGCCAAATTTATGTCACCCAACTGGAAGGGAGGAACCCAATCAGAATGGAAGTTTAAAACCAGTGAGTTAGAGGATAAATCCAAAAATTCTAATTTGGAGAGTTTTGAGAAATGAGTTTCTGAAACCACCCCTTCCAAAGAGTTTTTGCTGAAATCAATAGACTCCAGTTGCGACATTTGCCCAATACTTTCAGGTATTTTTCCGCTTAATTGATTGGCGCTAAGAGACAAGTATTTCAAAGATGAGAAGCTTGTGAGATTGTTTAATGACCCCGCAAGAACATTATCAAAGAGGTACAATTCCTCTAATGAGTTGTGAGCACATCTAGGCAATAGTTGAACAAACTTTGATAATTGTCCACTCAGATGATTTCTATAAAGCACCAATCTTCGCAAATTACACAGCCTTGCAAACGAATTTGGATTCGCTCCAATCTGGTTATCAGAGAAATCCAAACGCACAAGAGAGCTCATGTTTCCAATGAAATCAGGAATGAAACCAGTTAGATTATTGTTGGAGAGAGACAGATCCCGAAGAGAGCTCATGTTTCCAGGGAAATCAGGATTGAAACCAGTCAGATAATTTTCGGAGAGATCCAGATATGCAAGAGAGCTCATGTTTCTAGTGAAATCGGGAATGAAACCAGCTAGATTATTGTTGGAGAGGAAAAGAGAAACAAGGCTTGTACTGTACTTGGACAACCAAAGAAATATTGAAGAAGTGAGATGGTTATCATAGAGAAAAACATGTTCAAGAGATGTAGAAGAATTTGTTTTGTAAAGAGTAGTGGAAAGAATTGGAGTAGGAGGAGGAGGGAGACTACAGTCATCCAATCTCAAATATACTAGTTTAGGGAGCTTATTAAGTACTGCTTCTGGCCAATCGAAAACAGTACTGAGATTGGCTCCGCTTAAGTCCAAATACGTTAAAGAAGAAAGAGCAGGGAGCCAATTGAGATTTTCTGCTTGAAGCTGATTACCGCTGAGGCCGAGATTTTGCAATTGCGTGAGGTTTCCAAACGAACTTGGAATTTGACCAACCAAATTACATGAATAGAGACTGAGGAATTTTAGATTGGTTAGAGAACCAATGAAATCTAGAATTTGGCTCCCATTGAAATCAATGTATTCAAGGTCCAAATACGTTAAAGAAGAAAGAGTAGGGAGCCAATTGAGATTTTCTGGTTGAAGCTGATTAGCGCCGAGGTTGAGATGTTGCAATTGCGTGAGGTTTCCAAACGAACTTGGAATTTGACCAACCAAATTACAGTAATGGAGACTGAGGTTTCTTAGATTGGTTAGAGAACCAATGAAATCTGGAATTTGGCTCCTATTGAAATCAATGTATGCAAGGTCCAAATACGTTAAAGAAGAAAGAGCAGGGAGCCAATTGAGATTTTCTGCTTGAAGCTGATTATAGCTGAGGTTGAGATGTTGCAATTGCGTGAGGTTTCCAAACGAACTTGGAATTTGACCAACCAAATTACAGTAATAGAGATTGAGGTATCTTAGATTGGTTAGAGAACCAATGAAATCTGGAATTTGGATTCCATTGAAATCAATCAATGTAAGGTCCAAATATTGTAAATGCTGCAACTCAATCAGTTTAGGACTAATCATCTTACCTTGGAAAGAATATTCAAGAATATCAGGTTGAATCATCTTACCAGGGAAAGAATATCCAAGATCAAGTTGAATCACATGGCCAGTTTGGTTGCTACAATAAACTCCTTCCCATCTGCAACAATCTTGTTTTTGGGATTCTGAACCCCAAGAAGAGAGTTGATTGAACTCATCCACCAGGCCACGTTTGAATGCAAGTAGTGCTTGTCTTTCCCTCTCTATGCACCTCACTGTCACTTTAGCATCTCTGAGGCTGTGGCTGTGGTTGTGGCTGTGGCCAACTTCTCCTCCTTTTACGTTTTGTAGGAAAAGGATCAAGAGTGCAAGAAAGAGTTTCAAGCACCTTCCGTCGCCCTTCATGTTAATTGATCAAAAACACATGCACATGCAAAAACACTGCAAGTATATATTGATATATGCTAGCTTGCATCAGATATATATAGGAAATAAGGAAGAAAGCTAAAACAGTGCCACACATTCATACAAGACAAAACCATACAAAGGAGAAAATTATCTGCTATAATTAATGTTATGGAAATCACACGTCAATCATAATGAGACTAGAATGTCAAGGTGCAATTCTAAGTAGTTACAAATAAGAATACAAATCATTTGCAAAAGAAAATTCCTAATACTTTAGATTCGAATCTCTTTATTATGGAGGTAATTAAATTAAGTACACTCTAATTGTTCATCATAACTTATAGAAACCAAATTAGTTATGGTGCATGAGTTAAAAAGTAAGATGCAGGAATACAAGTACTATTTTTTAATTTCGATAAAATAAAAGTACTATTTTTAAAATTTTGGTTAATTTTTTAATATAAAAAGAATTGTGTACGTTCGGTGACATAGCATACTGTTTTGCTGAATGAGGAATGCTATTAACAATCGCTCAAAAGCGATTCTCACAGCACTTGCTAGACACGTGTACCCGTTCCCATCCTTTCTTTTTTTTAATTGTTTTTTCTCTTTCTTCTCTCGGTTGCCTCCCTCTCTCTCTTATTCTATTACTTTTCTCTCTTTCTTCTCTCTGTTGCCTTCGTCTCTCTCTTTTTTCTATTTTTTTTTCCATTGCTCTCCCTCTATTCTCTCCTCCTCCTGCTTCTTCTCCTTCTTATTTTCTTTTCCCCGTCTCCGTCTTCTTCTCTGTATCTGTCTCCATCGATGGGTTGTAAAAACCCAAACCTTTTGTAACACAAAAACAAATACCTCAAGCTTTAAAAACCCAAACTTCTTCTTCTCTGTGTATGTCTTCCCCCAAATCACAGTTCTCTCCCTCAGATTTCTTAACTTTCTTCTCTCTTTTCTCTCTGTTTCTCTTCTCTCTCTTTTTTAATTTCTTCTTTTTCTTCTCATCTGGTATCCGAGAAAGAAACCCATTTGATGGGTCTCGGAAAAATTCTAATGGAGCTATTGGTGCTGGAGGTGTAATCCGTGACTCTACAGGGGACTGGGTCACAGGGTTTACAGTTAATTTGGGTAAAGGCCAAATCTTAGAGGCTGAGATATGGGGGCTGTTCTTTGGTCTCAAATTGGCAGCTGAAAAAGGCATCCCCAACCTTGTGGTTGAGATGGATTCTGCAACTGCAGTTCAGCTTTTGAGAGAGAGACTTAAGACTTGAGATTAAAAATGGAGGGGAGTGCTGAGGTTTCAGACCAGAAAAATAGAAACAAAAGGGCTGTGCAGGCCAGAGAGCACGGAAGGGAAGAGGAAATGGAGAGAAGGAAGAGAAAAAAATAATAGAATAAGAGAGAGAGGGAGGCAACCGAGAGAAGAAAGAGAAAAAACAATTAAAAAAAAGAAAGGATGGGAACGGGTACACGTGTCTAGCAAGTGCTGTGAGAATCGCTTTTGAGCGATTGTGAATAGCATTCCTCAA